AATTTGGCAAGATAGTCTTTAAACTTATAGGAAGGCCCTCCGTAATGCCAGAGCAGCGTACTACTCGTCATTAATAGAGGAAAATAGGAACAACCCCAGGTTTCTTTTCAGCACTGTAGCCAGGCTGACAGAGTCACAGCTCTATTGAGCCAAGTATTCCCATAGCTCTCAGTAGTTACGATTTCATGAGCTTCTTTAATGATACAATTCTAGCTATTAGAGACAAAATTCACCAAGACCTGCCCTCAATTGGCACCGACTTATCTCTTAACTTAGGAACATTAGAAACAGCTGTAGAACCAGATACATGTTTAGACTGTTTTGCTTCCCTCAATCTTTACCAACTAACTTCAATAATTTCTTCATCTAAACCATCAACCTGCCTCTTAGACCCCATCCCGACTAGGCTGCTTAAAGATGTTTTACCCTTAGTCAGTACCTCTATACTAGATATGATCAATCTATCTTTATCAACAGGCTATGTACCACAGTACTTTAAAGTAGCTGTAATTAAACCTCTTCTGAAAAAGCCCAAACTTGATCCGGATGTTTTAGCCAACTATAGACCTATATCTAACCTTCCATTTCTCTCTAAGGTTCTGGAGAAAGCAGTTGCTAAACAGCTGTGTGACTTTCTACAGAGCAATAGTTTATTTGAGGATTTTCAGTCAGGATTTAGAGCTCATCATAGCACAGAGACAGCACTGGTGAAAATTACTAATGACCTCCTTATTGCATCAGACAAAGGACTTGTTTCTGTACTGGTTTTATTAGATCTTAGTGCTGCATTTGATACCATTGACCATCAGATCCTATTGCAGAGACTGGAATATTTCATTGGCATTAAAGGAACCGCTCTAAGCTGGTTTAAGTCCTATTTATCAGATCGATTTCAGTTTGTACATGTTAACGATGAGTCCTCCATGCACGCCAAAGTTACTCATGGAGTTCCTCAAGGATCTGTCCTCGGACGAATCCTCTTCACTTTATATATGCTTCCTTTAGGCAATATTATCAGGAAACATTCCATAAGCTTTCATTGTTATGCAGATGATACTCAGTTATATCTGTCGATCAAGCCAGATGAAACTCATCAGTTAGCTAAACTTCAAATGTGCCTTCAGGATGTTAAAACCTGGATGACCTGTAATTTTCTCATGTTAAACTCAGATAAAACTGAAGTTATTGCTCTGGGGCCTAAGCACCTCCGTGACGCATTATCTAAAGATATAGTTTCCCTGGATGGCATCGCCTTGGCCTCCAGCACCACTGTGAGGAATCTTGGAGTTATCTTTGATCAGGACATGTCGTTTAAGTCTCACATTAAGCAAATTTCAAGGACCGCCTTTTTTCACCTACGTAATATTGCGAAAATCAGGAACATCCTGTCTAAAAATGATGCAGAAAAACTAGTCCATGCATTTGTTACTTCTAGGCTGGATTACTGCAATTCCTTATTATCAGGCTGCTCGAAAAAGTCCATTAAGACTCTTCAGCTGATCCAGAATGCTGCAGCACGTGTTCTGACAGGAACCAGGAAAAGAGATCACATTTCTCCTGTTTAGCTTCTTTGCATTGGCTTCCAGTAAAATCCAGAATAGAATTTAAAATCATTCTTCTTACCTACAAAGCTCTTAATAGTCAGGCTCCATCTTATCTTAAAGAGCTCATAGTACCTTACTACCCCACCAGAGCACTGCGCTCCCAGAATGCAGGGTTACTTGTGGTTCCTAGAGTCTCCAAAAGTAGACTAGGAGCCAGAGCGTTCAGCTATCAAGCTCCTCTCCTGTGGAACCAGGTTCCAGTTTGGGTTCAGGAGGCAGACACCATCTCCACATTTAAGAGTAGGCTTAAGACTTTCCTCTTTGATAAAGCTTATAGTTAGGGCTGGCTCAGGTAGTCCTGAACCATCCCTTAGTTATGCTGCTATAGGCCTAGACTGCCGGGGGATTTCCCATGATGCACTGAGCTCCTCTCTCCTCTACTTTCTCTCCCTCTGTATGCAACCTTATCCCATTATTGCATGTTACTAACACAACTTCTCCCCTTTCTGGTAGTCTTGTGCTTTCTCGTCCCTCTCCTCTCTCCTCCTATCACTTCCTGCAGGTTTTCTGGCTCTGGAGCTGTGGAGTCTGGATCTGTGGCTGCGGGTCACCTGCTGCCCCCGTGTTCCTGCTCGACACCCTCTACTGCAACACTATTGTTGCTAGTCTTATTGTTATTATTGTTTTATAATCATTAACATTACGATGGTTACCATTAACACTATTATAAATATCTGTACCATTTTTCATTTAGTCTATAGCAACATTACCTTCACTGTCTGTACCTCTGTGTGTATATTGTGTAGGCTGCCCCCCTCCCCTCTCTCTCTCTCTCTCTCTCTCTGAGTGGATGCGTGAGTGTGGAGTGAGTGTGAGTTCGCGGAGCGAGTGAGTGTTTTTCTAAACTTTTTCTTGTTTCATGTCGGTTTAATGTGTTACTGTGTGTAGTTCTAAGGTTAGTTGTTGTTGTCAGGTGTGTGTGTTTGTTTGTTGTCGTGTTTTTTTGTGTCGGGCAGCGTTTCGCTGCTCGGCAGCATGGAGTTCTCCAGGCTGACGAGGAAACACGGACTTAAGATCTGTCCGGGTTTCCGCTGCTCCGTAGAGGAGTGTGCGTTAGCGGTGGCGGAGGTTGTCGGGGCCGGCAGCGTGAGATCTGCGGCCAGGATGAACGGGGCGGTGGTGATCTTTGTGGACGAAGTAAAAAAAGCTAACGCCGCCATCACAAGCGGTATTGTGGTGAATGAAACCTTCGTACCAGTGCTGCCTCTGGCCTCACCGGCCAGAAGGGTGATTTTGTCTAACGTCCCCCCGTTCATCAGAGATGAAGTGCTGGAGAGAGAACTCTCCAGGCATGGGAAAATAGTGTCCCCTATTAAAAAAGCCCTGTCTGGGTGTAAGTCTCCTTTGCTCCAGCATGTGGTGTCTCACAGGAGACAGTTATTCATGATCCTGAATAACAGCAAGGAAGAGTTGAACTTGTCTTTTCGGCTGAAAATTGATGGGTTTGATTATGTTCTGTTTGCCACGTCAGACGTTATGAAGTGTTTCGGCTGTGGAAAGGAGGGTCATGTGATCCGAGTGTGTCCAGAAAAACCTGCTGGTACTGAATCTGGTCAGACTGCTGGAGAGGGAACATCAGGGCAGAAGGAAGCTGGAAAAAAGGGAGGAATAAGTGACAAGGAGCAAAGAGGCAGAGCTGAAATGAAGAACAGGGAGGAGGAAACAGGTGGAGACAACAGTGGTGATGGTGAACAGATGGAGGGAGGAAATCAAACTGTTAGCTGCAGAGAAAAGGACACATCAAACTGTCAAAGCATCAGTGATGAGGGAAACAAGGCAGGTGAGTCTCAACAGAGCTGTGAGACTGTGGGTGCTGATATTGAAAATAATGAGGAGGAGGAAAATGGGGAGGATGAAGATGAGGAGGAGGAGGAGGAGGAGGAGGATGAGACGCAAAATAGTAAGACAGCTGGGCCAGAGGAGATTTTGGCAGGAAGTGCAGATATAGACATGGTTGGTGAGGAGAGCAGCCTGACAATCACTCGGCAGAAAAGAAAATCTGAAATCGACAGTAAAGGCTCAAAAGCAAAGAAGGTTACAGTCAGCAAAGACAAACAGAAGCAGAGTGTGAAGGAGTCGATGGCGGAGTATGACTCCAGTGTGGAAGGCCGTTTTGATGCAGACAGTGAGAGTGATGTCTCACTGAACAAAATAACACCAGGAGAGCTGAATGAACAGATTTATGGGGTTGAGAAAATCAAACTGTTTCTACAGAAAACAAAGAACGTAAAAGGGGTAAAAGTTGAAAGTTTCTTTCCAGACAAAGAGGCTTTTCTTAACTCAGTCAAGTCACAGCTGAGGGCCAAAGGAAGAGAGGGTTTAACTGAGCAGGAGGTTTACAGGTTGAGGAAAATAGTGGTGAAGATCAGACATGAACTTAATGAAGAAGATGGAGAGGAATCAAACTAAAGGTTTTCTTTTTCTCAGTCTGTGTGTGCTGTCTGGTTGTTTTTTTATTTTTTCAATGAGTGATTTTAAAGTTGCTTCATTGAATTTAAATGGCGCTGCGGACATCAGGAAAAGGATGCAGCTATATGAGCTGATGAAGCTGAAAAGTGTTGATGTGATGTTTGTCCAGGAAACACACAGCGACAGGTCCAGTGAAACTGACTGGAGATCAGAATGGGACGGCGAGGTCGTGTTAAGCTCCTTGACCTCAGTGAGCGGGGGGGTAGCCATCCTTTTCTCTAAAAAGTTTCTGCCGATTTCTTATGAACTTAAAGAAGTGATAGAAGGAAGGCTGATGATGGTCAGAGCCAAGTTTGAGTGTTTCACTCTCACATTCATTAATGTTTATGCTCCAAATGTCGGCTCAGACAGAGTCCGTTTTATTAATACTCTCAGTGACACTCTGACTAGTTTTGGTTCAGATGATTTTTTGTTTTTAGGGGGAGATTTTAATTGTACTCAGAATGATTCTTTGGACAGGAATCATGTTGAACCTCATGCTGCTTCGAAAAAGGCAATTAATGAAGTAATAATGATTTGGTGGACGTTTGGAGGAGGTTGCACACTGAAGACCGACAGTACACCTGGGTGCATACAAGAGAAAATTTTATTTCTTTGGCTCGACTGGACGGGTTTTATTGTTTTAAACATCATTTTAGTGTTTTTAAGGCATGTAGTATTTTACCTGTACATTTTAGTGATCATTTTTTAGTGGTCTGCAGTGCTTTTATTGCAAAAACTGAAAAACGGAGTGCATACTGGCATTTTAACACCAATTTACTCAGTGATGCTAATTTCAAAGATGTTGTGGTTTATTTCTGGAAGGTGCATAGGGCTGAAAGGAACAGTTTTGTTTCTTTAAGACAATGGTGGGACTGTGGGAAGGTTAAAATCAAACAGCTCTGTCTACAGTACACTCTGAATGTCATGAGGGACATTACTAGATCAATGACGACTCTAGAGACTGAGATAGTGGAACTTTTAGGCTTGATTGAGTCCACAGGAAATCGAGAGCATTTTGAAGCCCTCAAATCTAAAAAAGCTTTGTTAGCAGACCTGCTGGGCACCAAAGCCCAGGGAGCACTGGTTCGTTCACGTTTCCAGAGCATCAACCAGATGGACGCTCCGTCCAAGTTTTTCTTTGGCTTAGAAAAGACAAATGGGCAGAGCAGGTACATCCACACACTACAGTCAGCTGATGGGGAAGAACTCACGGAGCCTCATGAGATCCGGAGACGGGTGGTGCAGTTTTACTCTGAGCTGTATAAAGCGCAGCATGTGGAGCATGAACAACTGTTTGAGTGTTTCAGTGAAGGCCTGCCCAGAATCTCTGGAGATGACCATCCTGAGCTGGAGGAGCCTCTGGTTTTGGAAGAGCTGCATGCTGCCCTGCAGGGGATGGATGGAGGGAAGGCCCCAGGTATTGACGGTCTTCCTGTCGAGTTCTACAAGACCTTCTGGAAAGAGCTTGGTCAGGACTTGTTAGATGTGTTCAATGAAAGTTTTGAAAATCAGACCCTGCCTCTGAGCTGCAGGAGAGCTGTAATAACTCTGCTGCCGAAGAAAGGAGACCTCCAGGACGTCAGAAACTGGCGCCCAGTCTCCCTCCTCTGTTCGGACTACAAGATCTTGTCCAAGGCTCTAGCTAACCGGTTGAAGCAGGTGATGGAGGAAATCATTCACCTGGATCAGTCGTACTGTGTGCCTGGTAGGTCCATCACAGACAACGTGTCATTAATCAGGGATGTTTTGGATGTCTCTAGTTCTTTGGGCACTGACCTTGGTCTCATTTCGTTAGACCAAGAAAAAGCGTTTGACAGGGTTGAGCACCTTTATCTTTGGAAAGTTCTGGAGCGTTTTGGTCTCAGCCCACGTCTCATTGCTATGATAAAAGTTTTGTACAGAGACATTCAGAGTGTGCTGAAGGTTAACGGGGGTCTGAGTGCTCCCTTCACAGTAGGCAGGGGTGTCAGACAGGGCTGTCCTCTGTCTGGGATGCTGTATACATTGTCCATTGAGCCCTTGCTACACAGAATCCGGTCCTGTATTCATGGTTTGGTTTTACCAGGTTTTAACCACACACACGTTTTATCTGCTTATGCTGATGATGTCATGCTCCTGGTCAGAAATCAAGCTGAAATTAATATTGTTGGAAATATTGTGTCTGAGTTTGGTCTTATCTCTGCTGCAAAAGTGAATTGGACAAAAAGTGAAGCTCTAGCAGTTGGAAACTGGTTTGGTGGTCTTCCGGTCCTGCCGGGGGGGTTGGGATGGAGAAATGATGGTATAAAGTATCTAGGTGTTTATCTTGGCAAAGAAGAAATGGTGAAAAGAAACTGGGAGGGCATGATAGAGACGATGAAAGGAAGGTTGAAAAAGTGGAAATGGCTGCTTGCTCAGATGTCCTTTAGAGGAAGAACTCTAGTAATCAACAACCTTGTAGCTTCAGCACTGTGGCATCGTTTAGCTTGTATGGAGCCACCTGCTGGCTTACTCTCAAAACTACAAGCAGTTTTAGTGGACTTTTTTTGGGACAGGTTACACTGGGTACCTCAGAGTGTGCTTTTTTTACCAAAAGAAGAAGGGGGGCAAGGCCTGGTACACCTAGCAAGCAGAGTGGCAACTTTTCGATTTCAATTTGCACAGAGATATCTGACTGGTTTTAAATACCCAGTGTGGAAAGAGTTTGCAAGCAGCATTTTAAGGAGAGCAGACAGGTTAGGACTTGACACTGCTTTGTTTTTAATGGATGTTGGTTATTTAAATTTGAAAACTGATTTTTATAAGGGAGTTTTTAAGGCCTGGCACCTTTTTAAGAAGAGACGGTTGGAGCCGTCAGTCTCCCTGTACTGGTTACTGAACGAGCCTCTGATCGGTGGATCCACAATGGACATACAGGACAGTGGTACACCAGGCCTCCATCACACACTCCGTTCTGCTGGCGCTACAACTCTCAGACGGATAGTGGATGTAGCTGGACCTGGTTTTATGAACACTGAGGCTGTGGCTGCACTAATTGGACTAAAATCTGTGCGTCACGTGAGGAACATTCTGAATGGTTGGACTAACAAACTAACAGCAGCGGATAATGAGCTGTTGAGGATGTACTGGAAAGGTGAGGAAGCTCCGGACGAAGAGGACCCTTTTCCAGAGTTGGGACTGGTACCCAATCTTGACTGTTGTTCTAGTCTATTGTTGGATGTCAGGCATCAGAAGGTCCCAGATCTGCACACGGTGACGGGTAAAATGATTTACAGGTGTTGTGTGAAGGTGTTGTGTAAAAACAAGTTAAATGGTAGAAGTGACACGGTGTGGAGGGAGAAACTGGGGGTTAGTAACGCTGTGAAGCCCACCTGGAGAGTCTTTTACAAACTTCCTTTAAAGAAGCGTACAGGTGACTTACAGTGGAGAATATTACATGGGGCTGTTGCAGTGAATTCTTTTATCTCTGTGATTAATCCCTCTGTCTCTGACGGCTGTCCTTTCTGTGGGCTGCTGGAAACTGTTGTTCATTGTTTTTTAGAGTGCAGCAGACTGGGGGAACTGTTCAATGTGTTGGGGTGCTTGTTTTCTTCTTTTAATGAAGTGTGGTCTAACACTGCTTTTGTTTTTGGAGCAGGTTACAGGAAGACCAATGCAACAAAGTGGCAACTGTTAAATTTTATTTTAGGAGAAGCCAAACTGTCCATATACTTGAGTAGGAAGAAGCAGGTAGAAGGACGGCTGTGTGGAGATGTAGTCCCTGTGTTCACCTCTCTGGTCAAAGCCAGAGTGTTAGTGGATTTTAAGTTCCATCAGCTGATGAATAGCTTGGATGTGTTTGTACGTCAGTGGTGTTATGATGATGTCATCTGTTCTGTGGTGGATGAAGAAGTAAGTTTTAGTCATGTTTTCAGCTAATTTGATGTTTTTATTCGTGTGGAAGGTTTTTCTTTTTTCTAAATGTCAACCGGTTTTGATTCTCTGACTTATTGAGTGTTGCTATGTTTGTGAATCAGTGATGTTTTATTAAAGTGGTTTTAAAAAGTCAAAAAGTCTCCTTACATCCCTCTTTCTTTCTTTCTTTCTTTCTTTCTCTCTCTCTCTCTCTCTCTCTCTCTCTCTCTCTCTCTCTCTCTCTCTCTCTCTCTCTCTCTCTCTCTCTCTCTCTCACCCCAACCGGTCGAGGCAGATGGCCGCCCACCCTGAGCCATGGTTCTGCTCGAGGTTTCTGCCTCTTAAAAGGAAGTTTTTCCTTGCCTCTGTCGCCTAGTGCTTGCTCTTGGTGGGAACTGTTGGGCTTCTGTAAATATCATCACAGAGTATGGTCTAGACCTGCTCTTTTATGAAAAGCGCTGTGAGATAACTGTTGTTGTGATTTGGCGCTATATAAATAAAATTGAATTGAATTGAATTGAGTTGATAACCTGTTGGAGTACCTTGTGAACCTCAGCCTCACAAAACTGCTTTGTCAGCACAGAGACAGCTGAGATTGTTCAGCCACATTCTAGTTTGCATGACATGGAAATGCCTCCAAATATTCCCTGAAGAGAAATAAGACCTTGCCAGGCAACGCGGTGGCTCAGCACCTGGTCAACAATCAGCTGAAAGGTGAACTGAACGATAGTGGATACACACATGATGTAATTCACATGTATCATTAATTATATGTTACACTTAAGCAATATTACAGCAGAATCGTGTTGCCCTCACAGCATTTTAGCAACAAATTCAGACAGGCAGACTCCTTTAAATGGTCAAATTCTGAAGTGGGAAGGGTTGCCCTGGCCTTTCTGTGTGGAGTTTGCATGTTGTCTGCGTGGGTTCTCTCCGGGTGCTCTGGCTTCCTCCCACTGTCCAAAGACATGCGGTCTAGGTTGATTGGTGACTCTACATTGTCCTTAGGTGTGAGTGTGTCTATTGTGCAGTCTATTGTACAAACTTACTGTCACATTAAGCAACTCCATGAAGACAGCTCAAGTACAAGTAAAGTTACTGGTATAAAAATCTACTCAAGTAAAATTAAAAAGTAGCTCATTTAAAATTTACTCAGAGTAAAAGTTACTTAGCTACTTTTTTAACCTCCTAAAATAAAATACTGATTTAATATCTTATTTATACTTATTATAGCCTACTTGTTTAATTAATTAAATTCAATTAAATTCAATTTTATTTATATAGCGCCAAATCACAACAACAGTTATCTCACAGCGCTTTTCATAAAAGAGCAGGTCTAGACCGTACTCTATGATGTTATTTACAGAAGCCCAACAGTTCCCACCAAGAGCAGCACTAGGAGACAGAGGCAAGGAAAAACTTCCTTTTAAGAGGCAGAAACCTCGAGCAGAACCATGGCTCAGGGTGGGCGGCCATCTGCCTCGACCGGTTCGGGTGAAGGAGAGAGAGGGAGAGAGAGAGAGAGAGAGACGACGAGAGAGAGAGAGAGGGAGAGGGCAGGAGAGGAACAGAGAGAAAAAGAGAGGGATGGAAGGAGAGAGAGGGGAGGGAGGCAGCCTACACATTATACACACAGAGGTACAGACAATAAAGGTGATGTTGCTATAGACTAAATGAAAAATGGTACAGATACTTAAAGTAGTGTTAATGATAACAGTCGTAATGTTAATAAATATAATAACAATAATAATAATAGGACTAGTAACAATAGTTGTTGTAGCAGAGGGTGTCGAGCAGGAACACGGGGGCAGCAGGTGACCCGCAACCACAGATCCAGACTCCACAGCTCCAGAGCCAGAAAACCTGCAGGAAGAGATAGGAGGAGAGAGGAGAGGGACGAGAAAGCACAAGACTACCAGAAAGGGGAGAAGTTGTGTTAGTAACATGCAATAATGGGATGAGGTTGCATACAGAGGGAGAGAAAGTAGAGGAGAGAGGAGCTCAGTGCATCATGGGAAATCCCCCGGCAGTCTAGGCCTATAACAGCATAACTAAGGGATGGTTCAGGACTCACCTGAGCCAGCCCTAACTATAAGCTTTATCAAAGAGGAAAGTCTTAAGCCTACTCTTAAATGTGGAGATGGTGTCTGCCTCCTGAACCCAAACTGGAACCTGGTTCCACAGGAGAGGAGCTTGATAGCTGAATGCTCTGGCTCCTAGTCTACTTTTGGAGACTCTAGGAACCACAAGTAATCCTGCATTCTGGGAGCGCAGTGCTCTGGTGGGGTAGTAAGGTACTATGAGCTCTTTAAGATAAGATGGTGCCTGACCATTAAGAGCTTTGTAGGTAAGAAGAATGATTTTAAATTCTATTCTGGATTTTACTGGAAGCCAATGCAAAGAAGCTAAGACAGGAGAAATGTGATCTCTTTTCCTGGTTCCTGTCAGAACACGTGCTGCAGCATTCTGGATTAGCTGAAGAGTCTTAATGGACTTTTTCGAGCAGCCTGATAATAAGGAATTGCAGTAATCCAGCCTAGAAGTAACAAATGCATGGACTAGTTTTTCTGCATCATTTTTAGACAGGATGTTCCTGATTTTCGCAATATTACGTAGGTGAAAAAAGGCGGTCCTTGAAATTTGCTTAATGTGAGACTTAAACGACATGTCCTGATCAAAGATAACTCCAAGATTCCTCACAGTGGTGCTGGAGGCCAGGGTGATTCCATCAAGGGAAACTATATCTTAAAGATAATGCATCACGGAGTTGCTTGGGCCCCAGAACAATAACTTCAGTTTTATCTGAGTTTAACATTAGAAAATTACAGGTCA